CCAAACTCCCCCCAAGATCCTGACCACCCAGACCTTATCCCCTGCCCGTATCTCCATCTCCAGTTTTGGGTTTTTTCTCTGGTGTCTGCCCAGTACGGGGCTTGAACCCTGGACGCTGGTGTTATCAGCAACACGCTCCAACCAACTGAGCCAACCCACCAGCCCACTGATTAATTTTTAATTAGAATTTAAATAGCCACATGCGGCACGTGGCTCCCAAGTCCAAGGCAATTCCTGCCCTGGTGTGAAGATTTCCAGAAACTGGTTCTGATCTTCAGAGACACCCTGGGGAGCAGTTCTTGGGTGCCAAAGGCCGCATCCTGGGCTGTTCCACCTTCTCTGTCCCGGCCATTGGGACAACACAGATCTGCAGCCCCTGCTAGGTGCCTCCCGACGTGAGTGTTCAAGGAGAGGCTGGCCCACGAGAACCTTCCTGTGACCCCCGTTTCTTCCACCCCTGCCCCAGCACCCCTTGTGCTGGATGAGTTTTGGGATAAACTGGCTGTTAGGATGAGGTGTTCTTGTGGCCCGTGAAGGGAGGAGTCCTAAGGATCCAGAGAAAAAGAAAACTTGACGACACAGAGAGACTACGTACTCNGCCAGTGAGCGAACCGGCCATCCCTATGTGGGATCCGAACCCTTGACTTGGTGTTGTCAGCACCACGCTCAGCCAGTGAGCGAACCGGCCATCCCTATGTGGGATCCGAACCCTTGACTTGGTGTTGTCAGTACCACACTCTCCCGAGTGAGACACGGGCCGGCCCTAGAGTGCGGTTTTATAACACCAAGGTCATGGGTTCGGATCCCTGTGCTGGCCAGCTGCCAAAAAGACAAATAAAAAAATCATAAATGATATAAAAACTCATACTTGGTGTTGGGGATGATGTGGGAATGGAAACTATCAAACACGCCCACGGAGGTGTAAATTGGGACCCGCTTGCTCGCTGCAGGGTGGCACCCGAAACACCCGGCCTGCCCTAGCTGGGTTGGGAGGGCAGCGGGGTTTACAATTGGTCACAACCAGTGACAGAATTCTCTGTGCCTTCTGCACTCCCACTGCTTCACTTGACTCATATGAAAAAAAATAATGATAAAATTGAATTAAAAATTTTTAAAAAGTAAAACCCAAAGCAAAACAAAGAAACTGCCCTAAATGTCACTCCCTCTGACACCAACACCGAGTGTGGCATTTTATTTATGTCAGTGATTAGGGATGATTATAAGTTTTCAAGCAGAGAAATATTTACTGTGGGCATAAAATGACAGCAATGACCGAGAGGGGATTCGTCCCGTTACAGAGCCCGTGAAGGGCTCAGTTCTCACAGAGACAAGATTTATCTGGAGCTTTTTCAGACCCCTTCCTCCTGCAGAGACAGCTCCCAAACTCCCCCCAAGATCCTGACCACCCAGACCTTATCCCCTGCCCGTATCTCCATCTCCAGTTTTGGGTTTTTTCTCTGGTGTCTGCCCAGTACGGGGCTTGAACCCTGGACGCTGGTGTTATCAGCAACACGCTCCAACCAACTGAGCCAACCCACCAGCCCACTGATTAATTTTTAATTAGAATTTAAATAGCCACATGCGGCACGTGGCTCCCAAGTCCAGGCAATTCCTGCCCTGGTGTGAAGATTTCCAGAAACTGGTTCTGATCTTCAGAGACACCCTGGGGAGCAGTTCTTGGGTGCCAAAGGCCGCATCCTGGGCTGTTCCACCTTCTCTGTCCCGGCCATTGGGACAACACAGATCTGCAGCCCCTGCTAGGTGCCTCCCGACGTGAGTGTTCAAGGAGAGGCTGGCCCACGAGAACCTTCCTGTGACCCCCGTTTCTTCCACCCCTGCCCCAGCACCCCTTGTGCTGGATGAGTTTTGGGATAAACTGGCTGTTAGGATGAGGTGTTCTTGTGGCCCGTGAAGGGAGGAGTCCTAAGGATCCAGAGAAAAAGAAAACTTGACGACACAGAGAGACTACGTACTCACAGAGGGAGAATCAGAGCTCACACGCTCACCACGTGCAGATTCACACACGATGCCACCATTTTGGGGGAAATTACCCAAGAAAGGACTGCAAGACAAGTGAGACCTCGATTAGAATAAAGTGTCTCTTAACTTGTGTGTTTCAGGTCGCTGAAGTCAGTGGGCCCCACAGTGTTTCATGTGCAAAATGTTTCCTTATAAAGGGTGTGTGAGTCCTATCGATGCTGTAACAAACGTGGTGGCTTAAAACGACATACATGTATTATTTTACAGGTCTTGAAAGCAGAAGTTCTAAAGTCAAGGCACGGGCAGGGCTGGTCCCTCCTGGAGGCTCCAGGGCAGGACCTGTGTCCTCCTTTCCCAGCTTCTGGAGGCGCCCACAGCCCTGGCACGTGGTCCCCTCCTCTGTCTGCAAAGCCAGCAGCGCAGCATCTTCCAGTCTCTGCCTCTGACTCTCCTGCCCCCTCTTATGAGGACCCTGTGAGGACACTGGGTCTCCGGGTAACCCAGGATGACCTCCTATCTCAAGGTCCTCAACTTCATCTCATCTGCAGAATCCCTTTGCCATGGAAAGTGACATATCCACAGGTCCCAGGGATTGGGACAGGGACGTCTTTGGGGGCTGTAATTCAGCCAACCAAAAAGTGATGGTTTAGAAACCCTGTAAGCTCCAAAATTCTTAAACTGGCCCTGGAAAGAGCTGAGGTTTTGCATTTGCAAAATCAAAAGGTCAAAAAACAACGGTGGGAAACGGCGGGGTGGCCTCCCTGAAAGGCACTTGCACTTGCCAGTCACCTGCACTTCGAGGGCGGGAAATCTCCCCCTTCCCAGCGGCGCTGCGCCCTCTAGGGGCGGGATGTTGCCATGTGACACCTGACGGGGCTCTGGGCTCAGGGTTCGCGACTCGCAGCGATGGCAGACCCGACCCGTGAGTCATAGCTGCTCTTCCCTGTCAGCCCCAGGAACCACGACATTTTACGTGGAAAGGGACCCATCCCCAGGTTTTTCACATATAAAAACGCAAGTCTTAGAGGTAAATTCATCCCGTGTTTAAGGCCACAGGGCTGACGAGTGACCGGCTGGAACACAAGCCGCCTTCTGTCTGCTCCCTCCAAACCCAGCCGTCAGCACGTGGTTAAGTTTTGCTTCCTTCTCTTTGATGGAGTAAACAAAGCAGAGAGCTGAAGTCACCTGTGGCAGGAGCGGGCAGACCGGGAAGACACAACGGAAATGGGGAACCATGGGGGCCTGTCGCCAGCTTCTCTCGGTCTTTTTCCTGATCCCCCGACCTCCCAGCCCATGAAATTTAAATTCCACAGGCATGCTGTGTACCAGTTTACCTGGGAAACCATGATGATACCTAAGACTTTGGGGCCCCAAGAGCCAAGGCCCCGGTGGACCAAGCCCCCCTACGGGGACGGCATTAATGGCCACCACCAGCCGTGGGAACCAAACGACACAATTTATTCCGATGTTCGTATCCGGGTCAGGAGGGTGGTCTCGGGCAGGGTGGGGCGAGGGCGGCCGGGCACAGGCACCCTGCCCACCACCATGCCCTCCTCGGCTGCTGTGTGGGAAGCTGCCGTCTGGGCTGCCAGGAACCCCCCGTGTCCTGGGGAGGCCACGGTTGGGGGGTTTGGGTGTTGTGGGGTGAGGGAGATACGTTCAATCCAACACTTCCTGCTTCATGAAGTCCTGAGAGGGCTGGGCCGTGCGGTGCGTCTCTGGAGGGCTCCAGTGGTTTCTGGAAGGACCGAGCCGTTCCTGCAGCTTTGGGCTTAGGCGGCGACAGGTGTTAACTGCACCTGCTCAGTTTCCTGGCAGGAGCCGGGAGACAGGGGGACCGGCGCCCTTGTCTTCTGCAGACATCCCAAACAGAGATGATCAGAGATGGTCAGAGTTCTGTGTCATCTGGGATGGTGCAGGGCTCAGGCAGGAAGGGCCACTGAGGTCAAAGGCCACTGAGAACTCCGGTGAGGGGGACGTGGGTGGGTTGCGGGGTGCAGGATGCGGCTTCCTTTGGTCAGGGGCCCCTCACGCCTCCCGAGGGTCTAGGGGAGGAAGTGCTCTTGGATTTTGGTCCTGTCACCCGACGGGACACACAGACAAAGCATTTTGAGAGAAAGTTCGCAGGCATCTGAAGAAAGGCCAATTCCAGCAAAATACTAGGCAGAATTCAAAGATCCCACAGCAGGGCGAGGTGTTCGTGAGAAGGTTCGCTCCTGGGTTAGTCGTGAGGAAGAGGATATTGTTCTGGAGACGGAGCGGGCTCACTATTTACTGGTTCTAAAAAAAAGCGTTTTTTAAAAAACATCTCAGGATGGTTGTCAATGAGACTGTATGAAATTGAAACCTTTGAAGGTTCACGAAGGGGCCTTTGGGGAGGACTCAGCACTGGGATTCCTGACGCGGCTGCGGGCGTGGGGTCCGTGGCCTCCGGGAAACCCTGGGTCGAGTGAGCCGAGCGTCCTGGGGGGACTGAAGTGGATGAAGCTGGAAGTCGGGGCGTGCCCCGGGGGGCAGGTCGTACCTTTTTGTAACTCCCTGGGCTGCGGCAGGGGGATGCGGTTGGTGGATTGTAGCTCCAAGGCCTGTGCACTTTAAAATGACTAATATTAAGCCATGTGAATTTATGTTTTAACCTCAGTTAAAAACAAAAAAACTCGATCTCGGCCAGGTAGGGGAGCTGGGCTGCTGGTTACTTACGGTCTCCAAATAAAACCCAGGGAAACAGAAAACGGGCAGGCGAAGCCGGCCCCTCCCGCCCTCCAAGGCCACTGCACGCATCTGGGTTGGACTCTCATGCTCGCTTGCTGGTCCCTTTAGGAAGTGACACCCACTGGATGTTTTCTGGACACCCCTGTGCTCAGGTGGGCAGCACGGTGTGGCTCGGGGAGGTGGCGTCCTGCGGGCAAGCTCAGGACCCCTCCTGTCTGTCTCTCTGTCAGGCGCTGGGCTCGAGGGGTCCTCCTGCCACCCAGTCACCAGTGGAGCCCCCGCCGCCCCGTCGGGCCGACCCTGCTCACCAGTGGCTCCAGCTCCTTGGTGTCGATGAGGCCGAACTCCCGGACAAAGTAATAGAAGTGCTTGTAGCAGGTGTTCACGTGGGCCTCGGAGCCCAGCTGCGCGATGCGGTCAAAGTGGTGGATGTAGACGTGCACGAACACGCGGAACAGGCGCGACAGGATCTTCCTCACCGTCTGCAGGAAGTTCTTGGGGAATGGTGTGCCTGGATGGGCGACGGGGTGGGGGACAGGGCCGGTCAGACCGAGTCTGCCTGGGACCCCGGCTCCTGCCCCAGTACTGAATCGCACAGGTGTGAACTGATAAGGCTCAGAGAGGTTAAGACACTTGCCTGAGATCACACAGCCTTCATCCCAATCACCTGGCTGGGTTTCCTCTTGTGTTGGCTCTGGGCAGGAGGCACCCATCTGTCCCTGGGAAGGAGCCTCTTCTCCGGGATAAGGGTGACAGCCTGCGTCCCCCAGATTGCCACCCTAGTCTTTTGCCCCAGCTCTCTCTAAGGATCTCCCTTGGAAACCCCTGTCACTGTCACCTCCAACCCACCAAAGCTTCATTGTTCCTTCCTCCCATCAGACTTTGCACAAACCCCTCTGTGGTACCAACGACGTGATGTTAATGTACATGTTTGTGAGCCTCTTCCGTGGACAGGAGAGGCCAGGTAGTCACTCGATCCAGCTGGCGTTCCTGAGCGCCCCCTGTGGCCAGTAGTGGACAGAGCAGCCCCTGCCCTTGCAGGACACACTGGCACATGACTAACTGCAGAGAAAGCCACAGTGTGATCAGGCCGCACCTTCTAGAAGATGGAAAACATCAGTGCTGGACAGCACTGTGCTTTTCAGGCCACGGGGTCAGCTGAATGAGGCCCCAAAGATGTCCCTGTCTTTATCCCTAGGACCTGTGAACATGTCACCTCACATGGTAGAAGGGGACTCTGCAGATGGGATGGAGTTGAGGACCTTGAGATGGAGATCATCGTGGGTTATCCAGGGGCCCAGTGTCCTCACAGGGTCCTCATAAGAGGGGACAGGAGGGTCAATGGGATGGAGTTGAGGACCTTGAGATGGAGATCGTCGTGGGTTATCCAGGGGCCCAGTGTCCTCACAGGGTCCTCATAAGAGGGGACAGGAGGGTCAGAGGCGGAGACTGGAAGAAGCTGCGCTGCTGGCTTTGCAGACGGAGAAAGGGGCCACGCACTGAGGGCTGTGGGCGCCTCTAGAAGCTGGGAAGGGAGGACACGGGTCCTGCCCTGGAGCCTCCAGGACGGACCAGCCCTGTACATGCCTTGACTTTAGCCCAGTGAGACCCATGTGGGACTCTGCCCTCCAGGACTGCGAGGGGACAAATGTGTGTGGCTCTGAGGCACGCAGTTCAAAGTGACTTGCTGCAGCGGCTGCTGGAGACGCTCACAGAGCCTTCGGCCCTTCTGCACTGGTGCCTCCTCTGAAACCCACTCTGAGCCCAACTTTGCGGTTGAGAAACCCGAGTCCACGCTGGGGCCACCAGATGCCCAGAGCCGCCCCCCAGGCAGTGGGGAGTTGTGACTAGATCAGGTCCTCCTCTCAGAGCAGAGAGCACTGTGACGTGGTGGCAGCACAGTGGTGAGGCTGGGACCTCATCTGAGTGGGGCTGTCAGGCGTGTGGGTTGTGCAGTGAGGAGAAGGGAGGGCCGGCGTGGCGTGGGTGGTGGAGGGGACCCCTGCCTCGTGCCCGTGGACAGAACGAAGAGGCTCGGCCAGGGCGCTGGGAGAGCTTCACGGCCGTGAGCGGGAGGCCACACGAATCCTTCGGGACGAATCCATGCTGGCGTCCGCAGTGTGCCTGGGACACTAATGTGGAGACGGAAAAGGGGAGGAGGCAGGCTGCACACCGGACAGGACGGGAGCGCTCATGAGGCCATGGTGGGCAGAGGTGGGATGCAGGGGCCCGGATACACCACGGCCACCACGGGAGGACTGCAGCAGGTTAATCTCCCTAAAACAGCTCTAGCATATTCCCGCTGGATTTGTGCCCTTCGCCAAGGCTGAAGCCCAAGACATCTCGCCTGATCTGTCGCCGGAGTCCCTTCGCAGGCCACCTGCCCTCCTCCCTGCCTGGCAGATCTGTCTTTGGACACCCCGAGGGTCGCCGGCCTGTACTGGCCTCTCTGTCCACCTCTCAAGGCCCAGAGATGGCCAAGTCCTCCAAGATGATCTTTGGCCCTGGGGCCCCGGGGCCCTGGGAGACGGAGACGTGGGCCTTCCAGAGGGTAGCAGGAGGGGTCCAGCCCGGCGGTGCCTGCCTGCAAGCTACATGGGAACCACGATGCGCCAGGGCAGCAGGGCGGCTTTTACCAGCGAGCTTAGGTTCTGACCAGTCTGTTTCAGAATGCCCTTCCCCTGGACATCAAGGGACAGGAAGGGTCTCCCTGTGGATGGAAATTATTGGCAAATACTTAACAGCGGGATTTTTCTCTACAGATACTTTGAGCAGCGATCCACCCGGGTCCTGGAAAAGAGAGCCGGCTCCTTTTGCCAATTCCGGAAAAAAAAATTCTTACATCTTTTAGTTCAAAAGATTTGTAGAAGAACATCTGCAACACCTTATAAAGAGTTAACTTACTCAATAATGCTTATAAATCAAGAAAAGGAGGGCTGGCCTGCTAGCTCAGCTGGTTAGAGCGTGGTGCTGATCACACCAGGGTCCAGGGTTTGATCCCCGTACTGCCAAAAAAAAAAAAAAAAAAGTTATGCAGAGATGCTTTATCTGTTTAGCTAACAAAATGCAAACAACAGGGCCGGCCCGGTGGCGCACTCGGTAGACTGCGGCGCTTGGGAGCATGGCGGCGCTCCCGCCGAGGGTTCGGATCCCATATAGAGACCGGTCCACTCACTGGTTGAGCGCGGTGCGGGCGCGACACCGAGGGTTGCGATCCCGTTGCCGGTCGCAGTATGGGTGCGACACTGAGGGTTGCGATCCTGTTACCGGTCACGAAAAAAGACAAAAAGGAAAAAAAAAATGCAAACAACAAAAGGTGGATTTTGCACATGAGGCTGGAGAAGGAGTTACCAGATTTCCAGCCCCGCTGCGGGTGGGCAGGCCGGGCACTGTGAACTGCTGGGAGCTCTTCCGCAGGGACCCTGCGGTATCTGCCTCAAGTTCATGTCCATGTCCCGCAGATGGAGGAATTCACCTTGCAGAAGCTTTTCCTATAGAGCGTCACAAGTGCACAGAGACATGTGCAGGGACGGTCTCAACAGCACTGTCTGCAGTAAGACTGGGGCAGCCAGTCCCTGATGATGGCAGCTGGCCCTGAGGGACAGATCTAAGACGTGCGGAGTTAAAAAGGCAGCCGGGGAATTTCTGAGATTGCCGAGACTCCAGTGTGACCTCAGGCCCTCCACGCTGAACTTCAGCACGGAGGTTCCAGCACCAGCCCGCTTCTCTGTCTGTCTGCAGCGACAAGTTCTCTCCGAAGCTGTGTTCTCTGTGTGGCACCTCGCCACCGGGAGCTCGCTGCATGGCTTGTGTGTTGTGGACTTTAAGTGTCTATGAATGTCTTTGTGTCACAGAACATGGGGCTCCTGGGGACCCATTCTGTGGAAGGCTTGGCCACCATCAGGGAGGACTCTGGGATTCATTTCCCCTTCCACAGACATGACAGGAAAGCAGGAAGAAAAGGTACGCACCACGCTCCAGAGATGTACTCAAACAATCGCCCACAAACCCACATCGATGGGGTGCCCTTGAAAACCTCTGGAAGCCACGGGAGGTATTACAGACCCCTAGCTGGGTGGGACAGCACATCAAGGGGGTGGTCACTTTGATGGACTAGGGCGCTCTGTAAAAGTGGCTCCAAAGTCCGAGAGCAACGTCGAGCCCGGGCCAGGAGCACTGCCTGGTTCGGCATCTGACCCATGAGGGATTCCAGCTGACGATCCCAGCCTGCTCCGCATCTGTCCCCTCTGAGGGGGGTCAGGGTGACGAGGCGAAGGAGGAGCTACTTAAAACACCGGTTCAGGAGAAGGATTTAGAAACGGAGCCTTCGAGGACATCTTTGCCCATACTTCTGATGACAGTCTCATAGGGGTCGCAAACTACAACCCGAGGGCCCAATCTGGCCCCACTGCCTACTCTTGTAAACAAAGTTTTATTTGCACACAGGCCTGCCCTGTGTTCTATATCGGCAGCTTCTGCATTACGGCAGCAGGGCTGAGTAGTTGAGACAGGGACCGACTGACCTGCAAAGTTGAAGACATTTGCTATCGGTCCTGTACAGGGAAAGCTGGCTGACCTCCAGCCCAGTGTCATAACCCGTCAACTGAGAACGGGGCAGGTGGTGCTAGGGCCTTAAAGAGGCACAGGCACGAATGCCCTGGACCAAAGGGAGACTGGGATAGAACGTCGGTCCCACCCCTCCTTTGCTGTGGCAGCCTCAGGTACCCAGAAATGCCACCGATAAGAAGCAAAGAGACCCCACTCTGTGCACGAAACATTTCATGCCACCCAGTTGGCTGGGAGGCCTTGGGTAGTTTCAGGGTTGAGACAGGGCTGGGGGCTACGAGAAAGGTCAGGGGCTGGCCCCAGGCTGCCCGCTTGGTGGCGTGTGACTTCTGCCAATGTTATGTTCTCTCACTCTTCCGTCAGTGTCCTCCTTGGTAAAATTACAAAAATTCACCTGCTGCAGGCAAGGACCACTCAGGGTTTCTCCTGCTCTGAGGTTCTAGGATTCGGACCCCTCAGGAGCTGGGTGGGACTTTAGGGGGTCCCAGCAAGGCTGTGAGTCAGGACAGGAAGCCTGGGCACGCACAGACCCTGGGCCTGATCGTGGAGTAGGGAGACCCAGGAACCCCTACTTTGGGAAAGCACCAACTCTGGCGCAGCCTCTTCCCAGATGGGCACCTGAAGGTCCTCTGCCAGCGTCCAGCCCTTTCCCTGCACAGAGCAAGAGTGGTCTGAGCAGTGAGCTTGGTCCGAGGCGTACAGCCAACGGTGTCCAGGGGCTGGGGCCCGAGACGCCTGAGGACGCATGTCCTGCCCCGTGGGTGTCCCGCACTGCCATGCTGACACTGCAGGTACAGTGAGGAAGACGTCTGTCCCCTACGGCCACTGAGACAAATCTCCACAGACGCAGTGGCTTAAAACAGCACAAAACTGCCCTCTCACAGAGCTGAAGGCCAGGAATCCAAAATCCATCTCACTGGGCGACAGTCAAGGCACGGGCAGGCCAGGTTCCTTCTGGAAGTTCCCAGGGAGGACCCGTGTCCTCCTCTGGAAGGCACAGTGTTCCCAAGCGCATGACCCTTCCTCACCCTTCCTCCTCTGCCCTCGTCATCTCGCCATTGTCTTCCTTGTCTGCGTGTGAAATCTCCCTCTGCCTCCCTCTTATAAGGACCTCCTGATGGCATTTAGGGCCCACCCGGATCATCCAGAAAACTCCCCATTTCAAGATCCTTAACTTGGTGCAAAACGTGGTCCACCCACACAGTGGAACGTCACTCAGCCATGAACAGGAACGAGGCTCTGACATACGCTGCCACGTGGTGGACCTTGAACACGTCACGCTCAGTGACAGACGCCAGACACAAAAGGCCACACAGTGTGTGACTCCATTTACACAAAATGTCCAGAACAGGCTGATCCACAGAGACAGAAAGTGGATTCCTGGTTGCAGAGGCTGGGGGACAGGGATAGGAAGTGACTGCTAATGGGGATGGGGCTGCTTTTTGGGGTGACGGGATGTTCTGGAACTAGACTTTGGTGATGGCCGCACAACTCTGTGACTATACTAAAAACCACTGCATTGCATGCTTTAAATGGGTGAATCGTACGGTGTGTGGATTATGTCTCAATAAAGGCGTTAAAGAAATAAAAAGTTGAGCTGCTCCCGCTGGTCCTTTCTGCTCCCTGCTTGGGCCTCGGCAGAGCAGGGTGGCCCGGGGTGCCAGGATCCCACCCACACGAGCGGGACCAGCGCTGGGGAGGGAAGGGGGCGCCCGGCCGCGCCACCCGACTCACCGACGTTGGTGGGGAAGACGCCTTCATCGTTGATCTGCACCTCGATCCAGTCCATGAGCAGGTCCATGTAGCGGGGGGCCGACAGCGCCGTGGGCTTGCGGAACTTGTGCTCGTCCTGCCAGCGGTACTCGTACTTGGGACCCCCCGACATGATGGGGCAGGACTGCTCGGTGCAGCCGTCGCTGATGGTGCCGTAGATGAGGTTGACGCGGTTGAAGAAGTCCACCACGTGCACGGCCACCCAGTCGTGCAGGTCCTCGCCCGGGGGCAGCTGCACGGCCAGGCGCAGGTCCAGCCCCGCGTTCAGCGACGCCTGCGCCTTCTTGTGCAGCTCGAAGCGCTGCGTGCCTGGCTCGAACTTGCGCTTGGGGCGGAAGGTCTTGTCCTTGTTGAAGACCTGCTTCAGGAAGGGGTTGGACATCTCGGCCACGCCCGCTGTCCCGGGCAGGACACAGAACGCTCGCTGAGCCCTGAGGTGCTACCTGAGATCTGAAACACAGAACGGGAAAGGGCTGTCACCTGCTCCCGATCAGAGTCAGAGGTGTGCCTGGAAATTCTGTTCTGGAAGCACAAGTGGACGGGATGTGGGGTGTCTCCCAGGGCTTTTGGTTTTAAGGAATTTCTCCAAAAGGGCACCAGGGGACAAAAATGCCACACGGCCTGGCCTAATGGCCTTGGATCAGAAGTCGCCTAGAGCCAGGCCCCGAATAACAGGAGCAGCTAGATCCTTCCCCCAGGTCTGACGCAGGTCAGGATTCCCATTCCTGATGCTCCTTGTAACAGCACAGAAGAGCAGGCCCGGATAGTGACAGTGGCCACAGGTGACTGCAGTGACTGAACGGTGGCCACTGTGGAGAAGCCTGGAACCTGCATGTGTGACATTAGGTGGAGAAGTTGCTTTGCACCTATTTGACAAAGGGTCTTGAGATGAGATTGCTCTGGATTATCTGGATGGGCCCTAAATCCAATGACAAGTGTGTGTTAAGAGACAAAAGAGGAGAAAGAGATACGGAGAAGGCCGTGAAGACAGAGATCGGGGTGATGCTTCTACAAGCCAAGGAGCAGCAGGGACTACGGCAGCCACCGGGACCTGGGGACAGGCCTGGCGCAGATTCTCCCTCGGCTCAGAAGCCAGCCCTGCGTCCCCCGATCTCCAACTTCCGCTCTCCAGAATTGAGAGAGAATCGATTTCTGATCTTTCTGGGTTCTCCCCGATGCCACTGTGTCCCAGTAGGGCCCACCCGAATCCCGTGTGACCTCATCTTAAGTTAATTACATCAGCAAAGACTCTACTTCCAAATATGGTCACGTTGTGAGGTTCTGGGTGGAGGTAAATTTCGGGGGAACACGATTCACACTAGTACACCATGAAAATAAAGGAACCTCAGTGAGCTTGCCCGAATCCTGCCCATCGCTAAGTGGTGACTCATGGGACGTGCCTGCCGGTTTCTCTGGGACAGGGCCCCTGATCCAGGGTGGGGGGCTGTGGCTGCCTGTACCCCCGAAATCACAGCCCATGCTGGAGCCCCAACTTTGACCTGCTTCTCCCTGAGACTCCTCGCTTAGTCAGTGGGACAAAAACTGACTCTGTGCCCGGGGGGTGAGAGGATTAAAGCATCCTACACCACACGTGTGCCTGGCTCACACACAGAGTGCAGTCCCTGCAGCAACGCCATTGTCACCATTGTCACCGCTATGGTGATGGCATGGAGGCTCTGTGGCTTGGTCTCCTTTTGCATGCCCAGAGTGGAAGCCGAGTCCACCTGCTCTGCTGCATGTGCCCTCCTGGGACTGGGGGCCTGACCACGACACAGGGACGGGGTGGGGGGCCCCCCCACCGCAAGGAAGAGGAAGCAGAAGAAAGGGGAAGTCATGGAGAGAGGTGGGTAAGGGAAGCCACAGCGTCTGCACCCGCCCAAGGCCCCTGGCTGTGCTATCCTGGGTCCTGTGCACGCTGCTTATGACTAATAACCATTTATTGTATTATAATAATCCCCACCACCTTTTCTTTTCTTTTCTTTTTTTTTTGCTTAAGTTAGTTTCTTAACTTTGCTGGAGTTAGTTTCTTTTACTTGTGACCAGTAAGTCCTGTCTTGTGCCCCATCTCTCATCCCCACCACCTTTTCTTTTCTTTTCTTTTTTTTTTGCTTAAGTTAGTTTCTTAACTTTGCTAGAGTTAGTTTCTTTTACTTGTGACCAGTAAGTCCTGTCTTGTGCCCCATCTCTCGAGACCCAGCACAGGCTCCTATTGTGTCCTGTGGCTGCTGCAGTGACTGAACACAACACACACTTATTACACAAGGTCTAGAGGTCAGGAGTCCGACCCAGGTCTCCCTGGGCTAAAGTCAAGGTGTGGGCAGGGCTGGTCCAGAGGAAGATTCGTGTCCTTCTTTCCCGGCTTCTAGAGGCGCCTGCAGCCCTCGGCTTGTGGCTTAGGCCTAGGGTTCCCTTGTGACATCTCCTTCTGCAGGGACTCTGCTCAATAACCCACACCGAACAGGATGGCCTCCACCAGAGGACGGTCTGGCCCCAAATGTCAATAGTGCCGAGGGGGAGGAAGTGTGCATTAAATGTGTAGAAGAAAACTGAGTTAGGTGGGGACATTTAATTGGGGAGGTCATCCTGGGTTACCTGGGGGCCCAGTGTCCTCACAGTGTCCTCATAAGAGGGGACAGAAAGGTCAGAGGCAGAGACTGGAAGATGCTGCAGTGCTGACTTTGCAGACAGAGGAAGGGGCCACGTGCCAAGGGCTTCTGGCACCTCTAGAAGCTGGGAAAGGAGGACACGGGTCCTCCCCTAGAGCCTCCAGGAGGGACCAGCCCTGCCCCCACCTCGACTTAAGGCTTCTGATCTGTATGAAAATTAATTTGTGTTGTTCTAAACCATGAAGTTTGTGGTAATTTGTTACAGCAATCATAGACAGGTCAGAATAATTCACAGTTCATTTAATGACACCCCCCAGGCCCTGGTTAAATGTGGGCTGAGGACCCTCCCCACTGACAGGTGAAGCCCACTCACTCTAGGACCGTGGGTGTTGGAAGCAGACTCGAGGCAGCACCAACAGCAGGAGACACAGACACAGGGCATACCGACAGAAGATCCGACAGCAGACAACAGGGTGGGGGGCATGGGGAGGCCAGTGAAAGGGGACAAAACAACTGCCCTTTGCTCGGACAGCTGGGATCAAAGAGGGGCACTCACGAGTGCTGGCCAGGATGTGGAGAAAGCCGACCCTCACACACAGCTGGCGGTATGTGAAGTGCTGCAGACGCTGTGGGAAGAGCGTGGTGGTTCTGCAAAAGGTTAAACCTAGAGTCGCCAACGGACCCAGCAATTCTGCTCCTAGGGATCTACCCAGAGAACTGAAAATACATGTCCACACAAAGACGTGTCCACCCATGTTCACAGCAGCGTGAGTCACAACAGCCAAAAGGTGGAAACAGCCCAAGTGTCCATCAACTCATGAATGGACACACATAGCGTGGTCCATCCACACAGTAGAACGTCACTCAGCCATGAAGAGGAACGAGGCTCTGACACACGCTGCCACATGGATGAACCCTGAACACATCACGCTCAGTGATAGACGCCAGACACAAAAGGCCACACAGTGTGTGACTTCATTTATATGAAATGTCCAGAACAGGCCAATCCACAGAACTCTGAATATGCTAAAAATAACGAACTGCACACCTTAAATAGGTGGATTATAGGGTATGTGGTTCACATCTTGATAACTCTGGTATCATAAAAAGCACTGGCGGGTGGGGCAGGAGCCCAGCCTCTGCTGCACACACCACAGAAAGAGAACTAAAGATGCTCCTCTCGGGCTCCAACTCAGGCAAACACCATCTTTTAAAAAAAGATAAATAAAATTGACAAACCATTAGCACGGCTAACTAAAAAAAGAAGAGAGAAGATCCAAATAACACAAATTAGAAATGAAAAAGGTGATATTACAACTGATTCATCTGAAATACAAGGAATCATTAGAGACTACTATAAACAACTATACGCCAATAAATTTGAAAATCTGGAGGAAATGGATAAATTTCTGGACACACACAAGCTCCCAAAACTGAGCCATGAAGACATAGAAAATCTGAACAGACCAATAACAATAAAGGAGATTGAAGCTGTTATCAGAAGGCTCCCAACAAAGAAAAGCCCAGGACCAGATGGATTCACAGCAGAATTTTACCAAACATTCAAAGAGGAAATGACACCGATTCTTTACAAACTATTCCAAAAGATTGAAACAGAAGCAAAGCTTCCAAACACATTCTCCCATAGAACAAGAAGCCCTTGAAATGAATGACTGGGAATTTCGAGTGTTAATCCTAAAGAGACTGAACGAGATACAAGAAAACACAGCTAGACAACATGATGAAACCAGGAAAAACATACAGGACCTGAAAGAGGAAATGTACAAGGAAATCACTGTCATAAAAAAAAATGTAGCAGAACTTGCCGAACTGAAGAAGTTATTCAGCAAAATAAAA